TCTTCATCTGGTCTTCCATTGATGGACATTCACTTTATTTCCTTTTCTTCCCCTTCTGCTATAAACAATGCTGCAATAAACCCTCCTTGTACGTTCGTCCTTCTAACTGGAGATTTTATTTTGATGGAATAGATTCCCAGGAGGGGGATTGCTCAATTGAAGGGCTTATATACTTTTTAATTTTACTCAGCGTTGCCAGATTGCTTTCCAAAAGTGCCATAACACTTTGCATTTTCTCCGGCAGTTCATGAGCTCTTGCCTACTGTTTACCAGCATGCATTCCAGCAACAGGTGTTAGCATTATTTTTAATTTTTGCCTGTCTAATGGGGGCAAAATGAAATCTCAGTTAATGTCCTATGCAATAGGAGTTTGTGCATCTTGTATGTTTGTTGCTGTGTCTTGCCCATTTTTATCCTTTGCCTAACTCCAGTTCTCCTTGTTTTGTTTCTTACCAGTTTGTAACAGCTCTTTGCATATATCGATATTAACATTTTGTTTGACATCTGTGTTGCAAATAGTTTTATGCCTAAATATTTTGTTTTTATATAAATGTTGTGAATATCTGTTGCCACAAAAGTAATTTTTATGTAGTAAAATATGTCTTTCTTTAAAAATACGACTCCCTTGATGTTTTTGAAAATGCCCTGAGTTCACCCTTGTCATTCTGTACATTTTCTTCCAAGATATTTATTATTTTAATTTTGGAGGCTGTTAACTCTTTAATCCATCCAGGGTTTATTTCTGTGTTTGATTGTGAGAGGGAGTTTCAACTTTCTTACCAAAGCTAGCTGGTTGTGTTGGCATGATTAATAAAACAGTTGCCCCTTTTCCAGCAGAACTGAAATACCGTCTCTGCCACATATTAAGTTCTCGTGAATATTTTGATCTGGTTCTGAGCTGTCTGTTCTGTTCCACTGATCTATGCATTGCTTCCTCACCAGCCCCATTCAGATTTGATTATAGGGGCCTTAATATGTCCAGATCTCTAATAAGCCAAGTTCTTCCACCATATTCTTCTTTTTCGCAGGATCTGGCTGTTCCTGGCTCTGCATTCTTCTACACAAACTTTGAGTTGGTTTCATTCAATGGTGTCTTATACCACCCCTGAGTCCCCAGTGCCTGAGATGGGGCCAGACATTCAGCAGGGGAGCAGGAGATGTTTGTCGAATGTTGTTGATGCTCTCATACCTCCCCAGTGCCTCCTATCCCCCGACCCCCAGGACTGTAGGATATTAAATAGTATTCAAACCAAAGTTAACCTGAAAGTGTGTACAGAGCAGACAAATCTAACTGAATGGAGGAAGCTTCAGAGGCCTTTAAGGCAGAAAGAGAAGTTATTCCCGTGTTCAGCACCTATTTATTGGGCATCTACTGTATGCCAGATTGTATTCCAGGAGCTGGGGGTACAGCAGAAGCCAAGGGAGACAAAAGTTCCATTTCAAGGTGTGATAATGGTATGAAGTTATTTTTTGGTGAGATAATGATATTGTGGTTATGTTTTTATTTTAAACAGCCCTCAGCCAAGTGCGGTGGCTCATGCCTGTAATCTCAGCAGTTTGGTAGGTCAAGGTAGGAGGATTGCCTGAGCCCAGGAGTTCAAGATCAGCCTGGGCAATACAGTAAGACCCCTTCACTACAAAAATTGCAAATAAACAAAGAAATATATTACCTGGGCATGGTAGCATGGACCTGTGATCCCAGCTACTTGGGAGGCTGAGGCAGGAGGATCTTCTGATTTCCAGGAGTTTGAGGCTGCAGTAAGCTGTGATCATTCCACTGCACTCCAGCCTGGGCAAGACAGTGAGACCCTGTCTCTAAAGGATAAAAAAATAAAATAAAGAGTCTTTATCTTTCAGCGATACTTCCTGAAATATTTACAGATCAAATTATGTAAAGTCTGTAATTTGTTTCTAAATAACCTGAAGTTGGGGGAAATGGATGAATATATAGATGAAACACAATTGACCACAAATTAACAATGATGGAAACTCAGCAATGGGTAAATAGGGATTTATTAAACAGGTGAGTATCCCTTAAACAAAATGCTTGGGGCCAGAAGTGCTTCGAATTCGGATTTTTTTGAATTTTGGCAGATTTACATATCATAACGAGGTATCTTGGGGATGGCATCCAACTCAAATCATGAAATTTATTTATGTTTCATATATACCTTATAGCCCAAAGGTGATTTGATGCAACATTTTCAATAATTTTGTGCGTGAAACAAAGTTCCTGTATGATGAGGTCAAGTGTGGAATTTTCCACTTGTGGCGCCCTGTTGGTGCTCAGAAAGTTTTGGATTTGGGAGCATTCCAGATTTCTGATTTTCAGATCAAGACTGCTCAGCATGCACTGTTGTCTCCACTTTTGTCTGTATTTGAAACAGTCCACAATAAGAAAGTTTTAAAAATGCATACAGAGCTTATTATGTTCCAGGCATTGTTCTCATTGCCTTATCTCCATTCATTTGTCAAATCTTCAAAACAGCCCTAGGAGGTGGGTATTATCATCCCGGTCTTACACATGAGAAGAGCGAGACCCCATGAGATCCAGTCACTTGCCCAGGGTTGGTCTTAGTTAGTGAGTGGCAGAACTCCCTGGCCCCACAGGCTTCCTCTCAAACACCACGTCCTACCGTCTTTCCCATCTCCTACTTATTCCAGTGAGCCTTCGGATGGACAGCTCTGTGAGATGGGATTCTTCCATAGAGTAGGAAGGGCTATGAAAGATACCAAACAAGATTATGGGAGAGAGAGAAAGGCTGGTAGTGGGAGAAGTTGAGACTGAGAGTGAAGAGGTGGTGTCCTCTTTGGGTGAGGTGATCAGAGAAGGCCCCTTCAACGAGCTGAGACCTGCACGGACATCTGGGAGAGATGTTCAGACAGAGAGGCTGGCCAGAGCTGTGTCTGAGCTAGAACCAGAAAGAAGGATCATAGTGGACCAGGATGAAACGTGTTTCAGCACAGCGGCAGGCCCCAGGTCTCACTGCAAGCTGTTATAAGGTGTTTTTAGGTTCAAAAAAGTGAACTGAGACATCTCAGTAAGATCATAATGATTTATTGGATTTATAAGCTCTATGATCATTTAAATACATTTACCTACATTCATGGTGCTAAATTCATCTATAACAGAGGAGTAATTTAATTCTGAAGCCAAATTAACTGCTCTTTGCCTTCTCGCAAAGTCACCCACTCTTGATTTTTTTTTGCATAACTTAATTCAATTTTTCTGCTCTTGCTACATTTTCTCCAGCTCCCACGCATTTTTTTGGGAGGTGGTTATAACGTTATTATCTTATTATTAGTCACTAACCAGGAGTAATTCACTTTCCAGTTGATCTATGCTGCTTATAAAATGCCATATCAACTGGAAGCACAGTCTGGTTAGTGAGTTCTGAGAGCCGGGGTAGACAGATGATCGTGTGTGTGACAGGCCAGGCCCAGGCGATGATGCCTTCTGATGAGCCAAATTTACCTGCGGTCAAACAGTTCAGGTGTTGGAAGAGCGTCCACAAGCCCGATTCTCAAGGGTACAGCAGAGGTACCTGGTTGTATCCAACTCATGTTGTGGGCTGAATATTTTACACAGTTCTGCTAGTTTGCATTTGTCCTAAATAAATTTCTGACAACGTCAAGTTCAATGGAATCTCTAGATAAAATGTCCCTGAGCACCCTGTTTTCCTTGCAAAGATGGCTGGGTACACACGCACGTTTGTAGTGTAGCCTGCACACAAATCACGCTTATTTGGGTAAAGTAGAAGAGGGCATGTGGGGACCCAGAGATCCTTCTGCCACTGTGACTTAAGCCTGGGGAGCATTCATTGTGGATGATGGGTTTTGGGGAATAGGTAATATGTTTGGTTCACTTTATGGTCAAATCACCCCTGAAGCTGCGTGTTGGGAGAAGAGGATGAGGATGGAACATTAGGTGAAAGAAAAGGATATATAAACTATAAACTGAAACATATTCTTTGGGTAAGAGCAAGCCAAATTTATTCTTCAATGGGTGTCTCTGGCCTTTGCTTTCCTTCTGTCAACTAACAGGTTTTTCTGATTCTTGACTAGTTTTTTGGAAGGATTTTGGGATACAGAATCAAGAAGAAAGGGCGAGAAAGAAATGGACAAGAAGTCCTCTATTTTGGGCTCAGGATAAGTTTTTCAGAGAGTTGGAGGAAAGCATGTTGGGAGAAACATAGGGGTGATGAGGGAGGCAAGTGGAATAGAAATTTTAAGAGATATCACTACAGATCGTCCTGTAGAGTAACCTGGTGGGCTTTGCATGTGGCTTTGGCCAATCATTGGCCCTTCTGGGTCTCCCCATCTCCCCATCTCTCAGAACTTGGACACCAGGAAGCCAAAGGGCCTTTCTAGTACTCACATTCAGATGCAAATGGGATCCTCAGACTGCTCTTGGTCCAGGACTCTGGAGGGTCTGGATTCCTATTGACTCACAGTTACTCTGTTATTTTATCTGGAGTAAGTCGAACCTCTCTTTTGTGCCTTGACTACTCTATTGGCTCAGCAAGGATACTGAAAGAAACACAGTGGACTCACATGATATTCATGAAGTTGGGTTTCCTTCTTTCTTCTTTTGAGACAGAATCTTGCTTTGTCTCCCACACCGGACGCTGGAATGCAGTGGTGAGTTCATGGCTCACTGCATCTCAACCATCTGGCCTCAAGCAGGTCCTTCTGCCTCAACCTACACACTATCTGGAACTACAGGCAGATGCCACCACGCTCGATTCATTTTTAAGTTTTTTTATAGAGACAGGTTTTTTTGCCATGTTGCCTGGTCTGGCCTCAAACTCCTGGGGCTCAGGTGATCCTCCCTCTTCGGCCTCCTGAAGTGCTGGGATTACAAGCATGAGCCACCACACTCAGCCCAAAATTCTTTTAATAAAGGAATTCCGTGGCACAGGGCAGACAGCTTCCTTCCATCTCTCATATATAAACCACCTCCCTTTCTTCTCACCATTATCTCCTTCTCTTCTCCTCAGGAGGCTGGATGGGGACACATTCCGTGAGTGACATCTTACCAGAGGGTGGCCACGAACTTTATCATGTTCCACAACTGTTAATCACGACTGGAGCTGGCCCTGCTGCTCTCTGGCCTCCTCTCTATGGAACTGTGCCTCTTCTCTAGGAAGAGTCCTTGAAGCTCTGCTGAGGGCAAAACCTCTTCTTTCAGCTCATGTCAATCTTGGGATTTTTTCCCAGCGTGTTCAGATTCTGGCTTGGAGGTGCTATCTCCGGTTGACTTTTGACATCAACCAAGCCCACTATTTGCCTCTTTTGGTTTGTGATGTTAACAAGCTTTTGGAACTAGTTCTATAAGATACTCAACCCCTATCGTATGATGATAGGTGCTGGAACTAGGCTTGTTGGGTTCAAATTTTTGCTGTCGCTAACTGGCTTTGTGAACACATGTCAGTTACTAAATCTCCCTGTGCCTCGGTTTTTAAAATATGTCACTGGGGAGTTATTGTAGTGTCTGTGGGTCTCAGTCAGGAATTGCTATAGAACAAACCACCCTAAAACTTAGTAACATCAACAACAAGCCTTGTTTTTTTTTCATTCTTGCATCTGGAGAGAGGCTGGGGAGGAGGAGGCTGGGGTTTGGCGTTTCTAAGTGGGGCTTGCTAGGCTTGGCCCTGCGCTGTGCAGTAAGCACAGGTATTCTCCATTTGTCTTTCATCTTCTTTGGACCACTGGCTACATGTTCTCATGGCAAAGAGGAGAATAAAAGGGCAAGTCCTATTGGCCAAAGCAAGTCAATGGGGCAGAGAAGGGTACGCCCCTAGGGGGAGGTAGAGGGGAGTGGATTTTTGTTGAACAATTATCCTATCACATTGTTGTGATAGTTAAATGATTTAATGACTTTATTTTTTTTAATTTTTTTTGGGGGGGGGGCCAATTTCACTCTTGCTACCCAGGCTGGAGCGATCTCAGTTCACCTCAACCTCCATCTCCAGGGTTCAAGTGATTCCCCTGCCTCAGCCTCCCAAGTAGCTGGGACCACAGGCATGTGCCACCATGCCCGGACAATTTTGAATTTTTAGTAGAGACAGGATTTCTCCATGTTGGTCAGGCTGGTCTTGAACCCCCAACCTCAGGTGATCTGCCCGCCTTGGCCTCCCAAAGTGCTGGAATTACAGGTGTGAGGCACCGCACCTGGCCAGATTTAATAACTTTAGAGTGCTAATAAGAGTACGTGGCATAGAGTAAGTGTTCAATAAACAAGAAACAGTAGTGGTGATAATGTCAGTACTAGTGGTGACACGAATATCGGCATTTTTAGTAGTACATGCCTACCTCAGGTACTCTTTCCAAGATGCACATTCACACCAAAGGGTAAATGTCTGCCAGTATAATAACACAGACCTCAAGTGTGTATGTTTAACAGCAGCGGTTAAGCCAAAGAGGTGAATGCATAAGGGTAGATTTTTGAGACTCAGTAAAATCTGATGACAAAGAAAGAAGGTTCTGGAGTAAGTCGAATCTGGATCCAAATGCAAACTCCGCCACCTGCTTGCTGAGTAACCATGGGCCAGTTTCTCGCCCTTGCAGTGCCTCGTAGGGTAGTGTGAATTTGATAAGCTGCTGTAAGCAAAGAAGTCAGAAAGCCTCTGGCCCACAGGGAGGTCGATAAACACCCATGGGTTAAAAAGGTCTGGAGCGGAGGGAGGAGGCAGCAGAAGCCCCTCATAGAAACCCGAACCTTGCCAGCAGGTGGTAAGGTCACCTCTGTCCCTGGGTCTTTCCAGTAGAGATTCACTGAGTACCTACTAGGAGCCAGGCATATGCTATGGAACCCCAGATTCACTTCTGCTCAGTCCACTCATTTCCACAGTTCACTTGCCTCCGAGTAAGTCCGGTGGCATGTTAGTTCCACTGGATCTTACATACGGTTATCAAAATTAAAATTAAAATGGCCACACAAGGATTCTGTGGCAAAGCAAGTTAGAGAACTTGCACTAAACAGCTAAACAGGTTCTATGGCGGAGGGACTTCGAGCCCTGCCTACGCTCCTGGGCCCAAGGTTCTCCCAGAGAGGGAGGCGGAAGTCAGGCTTCCAGACTTAAGAGCGCATAGAGCCCAAAAAACTGGAACCTGGCTTTGGGAAACAGTGCTATAATTCCTTAGCATCTCTCTACCCCACCCTTCCTTGCACTGTTGGCTGCCGGCACTCCTTCCTACCTTGCTGGTCCCCACTGCCCCGTTCCTGGTTTCCCCCATCCCCCAGGAAGTGCAGTAAGCTTTCCCAAGCTTACATCCTTTGCCCGGTGGCATACTGCCTGCCCGCCCCCCACAGGATCAGGGGCTCTATGCGTGCTATTTTCTGGTTTCTCTCTGTGAGATGTCTTCTTCCTCCCCTGCCTGGCGAATTCTGTTCATCCTCCATGCCTCTGTCCCTTCAGGCAGCCTCCTGCTGCCCTGGTGTGGGATCAAAGTCCCTTTTCAGATCCTCTTGGCCTCCACAGTGTCGCTCTCTCATACCTAGTTACTGGCTGGCACCTGTAAGCTTCCTGCTGTCTCCTTCCCCTCCTATTTTGAGTGCCTTGAGGTGGGGGCAGCCATGTAGCTTATGGTTAAGCTTATATGATTGCAGGGGGCTTTAGATCCTGTGTGACTCTGGGCACCTGCCTGTGCTTCAGTGTCCTGCTCTGTGAAATGGGCAATGACAATTGTAGCACCTTATAGGATGCTATGTGCAGGGAGAAGCAGCTTTTCCATTCCTGCTTCCCTTAAGGGGGGAGGTGGCAGAATGAAATGGAAGGGTCTCATACCTGGCGCCTGGGTTTGAATGCTGCTATGAGACAATGGGTGAGTGACTTTCCCGCTGAAAGCTCTGCTTCCTTCTCCAAATGATGTCTATGTCTATTGCATGTCTATTGCATGTCAGTTGAACTGATAATCTGAGGCTACGCATAGGAACTGACAGAGTAGGTGCTTAATAAATATTTTTAAAGAAATATATAGACTTCCACTCAGTACCACAGACCGGGGGCATGTAACTTGCTGGGCTCCCTGAAAGCCTGAATGGGAAGGCATTTAGAGGACAGGTGAATCTATTGCTTTATTTCACAGATGAGAAACCAAGGCCCAGAGAGGGCCAGGACTCACCCAAGGGCACACAGCAAGTAGGGGTTAGTAGATCTTAGATAAGAGCCCAGGTCTACCTGCCTTTCAGTCCAGGGAGATTTCAGACCCTCTAGACAAGGCCTCAAGACGTCTTGGCATTGAAAAGCCTGTAGGGATAGTAAACCACAAAAGTGGCTCCTGCCTGTAATCTCAGCACTTTGGGAGGCTGAGGCAGGAGGATCACTTGAGCCAGGAGTTGGAGACTAGCTTAGGAAACAAAGCAAGACCCCCATCTCTACAAAAAAATGAAAAAAAAAATTAACTGGGTGTGGTAGTGTGTGCATGTTGTCCTAGCTACCTGAGAGGCTGAGATGGGAGGATCCCTTGAGCCCAGGAATATGAGGCTATAGTGAGCTATGATTGCACCACTGCAATCCAGCCCGGGCAACAGAGCAAGACCTTGTCTCAATCAATTAATCAATAAAACCACACAGATACCAAAAGGATGGGAGTGTAATTATTTCTGAAAACACCCTACACTAACAGGCTTTGGTTTTAAAATGGTCAAGTACACTCTTTTTTTCTTTTGAGACAGGGTCTCACTCTGTCACCCAGGCTGAAGTGCAGTGGTGTGATCGTAGCTCACTGCAGCCTCAACCTCCCGGGCTCAAGCGATCCTCCCACCTCAGCCTCCAAAGTAGCTAGGACTACAGGCATGCACCACTGCACCTTGCTAATTTATTTTTATTTTTGTAGAGATGGAGGTCTTGCTAATGCTGCCCAGGTTGGTCTCGAACTCCTGGCCTCAGTGATCCTCCTGCCTCGGCCTCACAAAGTGCTGAAATTAGAGGTGTGGAGCCACCAAGCCTGGCCTGATTTCATCAGTGTTCCAGTTGTCTTGAGATCTGCAGTCTCCCCTTTACTTCCAGTTTAGCTTGAGCATGGTGTGAAGGTCACTTGCCTCCAGATGCAAGTGTCAGGCAGGCACCCGCTACCCTGTTGTACAATCCAGTGTAGACACCTCTTTTGGGCTTGGGCCTGCCCCTCTTGGCCAGGTGTGGTAGTGGAGGGAGGTGTAGAGAAGCCACATCCCCTGAGCCCTTCCCTGGATGGGACACAGTGCTCTATGCTTGACCCCACACCAGCTAGAGGTTAAGGGGTCTCCCTTGGGGTCTGAGTCCCAGGATCACCATGCCCCAAGCCATGTGACCTTGGGAAAGCCACCTGCTCCCAGCCCTCAGTTTGCTCATCTGTCCAATGGAAGGGAGGCTGGCATTTCTATCAGTGGTGCTGCGGGGATGGGATAGAAGGAGATAAAGCTTTTGGGGCACTCAGCAGAGCACATGGTAGTCAGTCATCAGGATTGTTTCCTTTAAATGCAACTCTTAAAATCAGGGACCCAAGCACCCTCAAAGACACTCCCAAGGTCTTTGACCTCAAACTGGGAATGGTTGCATTACCCCTTTCCCTCATGCTTGTGGTCCAATGGCTCGTTTCCATGCTGGGGGCATTCTCTGGGCGTCATGAAGGGCACAGTGTTGCTCCCTGGCATTTGCAAAGGTGCCTGGCATGGGTGCAGCATTTCACTGTGTACAAGCCCCTTCTTCTACCCAGTCCATACCTACCCCTCATATACCTATAGCACGTTACAGTTTATATGTTGCACAGCATCTGCCGGGCTTAGGAGGCAGACCCTTGGTTTACAGAGCACACAGAGGCCTGGAGAGCCACGGGAGCCCAGCGAGCTGCACGGGCCCCAGGCTTTGCCTCTGGGCGGCCCCACGGGCGGTGGTACGATTCTGGCTCGCATCCAGTCCCCTCGGGCTCTACCTTCTCGTGCTCCCTCTGTGTCCTGCAGAAGATGAAGTCTTCCTGAACGAGGCTCGGGAACGCTGCCACTGTTCAATGAGCTAATGGTGAAATTGGAAGCTCAAGGGCTGGAGGCAGAGAGAGAGAAAAAAAAGACAAGCTTTGATTCATGGGCAGGAGGATGAGTGAATGGGGAAGACTCATCCTGCAGTAATCAGAGGAAACGCCTGAGCGTCCTTCGTCCTTCGAGCAAAGTCGCTCCCGGAGAGGGGAAGGTCATGCAAGTGGCAAGCTTAGTGCCCACTGGTGGCCGAAGCCAGGATGGGGAGGCAAGGGAGTGGGCTTGGGGCAGACAGACCTGGGCTCTGATCCCAGTGCCACTGCAGCAGCAACCGTGCCACCCTTGCCTGTGAAGCAGGGTGATGGTGTTTATTATCTCGGGGGTCCCTTGAGCAGAGTAAGTTAGCTGGTAGCAGCTGGGCACAAAATAGGTGCTCACAAAATAAAAACCCCTGGAAGCTTCTCTAGTAGAGCACGTGGAGACAATGTACTGTCTCTTTAGAAGAGGGGTTAAAATCTGCCAGCTGCCTCCACTGGTCCTGAGTGAGTGACTGAGCTGTTTTCACAGTCTGATTTCCAGGGTCGGGGTAGTCAGCTGGAGGCATGACAAGGTTTCTAGAGGTAATCACTCACTTAGCTCTAGAATGAGCCATGGGGCCCGTGAGAGTGAGAGGAAGGGGTAACACAACCGTTCCCAGTTTGAGGTCAAAGACCTTGGGTGTGCCTTTGAGGTCCCCTGAATCCCCGATTTTAGGAAGCTGCGGTTGAATGAAACAAAGCTGATGGCTGTGATTACCATGTGCTCTGCTGAGTGCCTCAAGTGCTTTATCTCCTTTTATCCAATCCCCGCAACACCGCAGACGGAAATACCAGCATCCCTTCCGTTTGACAGATGGGCAGACTGAGGCCTGGGAGCAGGTGTCTTTTCCAAGGTCACAGAGGGAGCAGGAGGCTTGGGGCATGGTGATCCCAGGACTCAGATCCCAAGGGAGCCCCCTTAACCTCTCGATAATCACTGTCATGTCCAGCAGGTCACCATAGGCATTCTCACATGGTCTCTCTCATTCTTTGCATGGACTCGATGAGCTGGGTGTTATGATCACTGCAGGTGAGGATGCTGAGATCTGCGGGACAGAGATTGGTGCCGGGTCACACAGCTGGCAGATGACAGCACTTGGCCTCCAGTCTGGAGCTCTTGCCTCCAGCTCCTCAGTACCTTCTCATACTCCATCTTAATTTGGGAGGAAATGGAATCGCCTGGGAGAAGGAAAGGAATGAAATTAGAGTGTTAGAAGGAGAATGTTATTGTGCCTTGAACAGTTTTAGAATTTCCTCCAGATCCTTCAGACCGGCGACCTCACCTGCAGACATTGTGATACGAAGGCAATTGACTGCAGCCAGAAAGCTCCGACTCACCTATTTTTTTGTTTAAACTTCAGATTCCCGAATTAATAGAGGCTTCCTCTGTGTGCTGGGAGGATGCCAGGCAAGCTTCCCAGCCTGGAACTGGAAGATAATAGTAATTAATGGAGCCGGTTTGTGTGAGGAGCCTCAGCTTGTGAGGTAAACAGGGAAAGATTCTGTACTGTTTTTTTTTTTTCTAATAACTGCTCCCCTGTGCTCTGCTGAGCTTCGTTTTTCTTGCTGGATAGCTGGTTTCCTCTAGGACACCTCATTCTATAAGTTTCCAGTCACTTTGAGCTATTAAAAATAACAATCTCGTTTTGGTTAGTAAGACTCAGTCCTGTTCAGGTTGAAATGGCAATCTCATATGAAAGTGGGTGCTTCCCTCTGGGGCATGTGTGTGTGCATGTGTGTGTGTGTTAGTGGGCATGTACATATATGTGTATGTGTGCCTGTGCTTGTGTGGGCAGTGTGTGCATCTACATGTGTGCATGCATGTGTATATGCGTATGTGCATGTGTGTGTGCATGTGTGTTAGTGAGCATGTACATATATGCATGTGCGCCTGTGCTTGTGTGGGCAGTGTGTGCATCTACATGTGTGCAGGCATGTGTATATGTGTGTGTATGTGCAAGTACATATGTGTATGTGTGCCTGTGCTTGTGTGGGCACTGTGTGCATCTACATGTATGCATGCATGTGTATATGCGTATGTGCATGTGTGTGTGCGTGTGTGTTAGTGAGCATGTACATATATGGGTGTGCGCCTGTGCTTGTGTGGGCAGTGTGTATAATTGTGCATGCATGTGTGTGTGTGCAGGTGTGTGCTTATGCACAGGCATGTGTGGGCAGTGTGTATGTGTGTGCATGCATGTAAGTGTGTGCATGTGTGCACAAATGCATATGTGGTTCTTGGGATCTTGGAAGATGCAGCTCTGGCTCAAATTCTCCCTTTTTATCCTCATTCTCTCAGGCAAGTGGCGTAGCTCCGGCTCCCAGAGCCCCTGATATTGATAGCAGGGTGGACCTCGGCTTAAGTCCATACCACTTACTGTGATGTCCACCCAAGCCACCGGAAGCCTGTGAGTCCTTGCCACACCAGGCGTCGGGTACCCTCCTCTCTGCCTTACCATCTCCACCGTTGCTTTCTCCATGTACCATGGGATTGTGAGAACTTGGTGGCGCAGGGCACATTGCAGACTTCATGGCTGGGAGTGGCTGGAGACGTCGCCTGGTGTCTGACCTGGGAAGGAGCAGGTGAGAGTAGGCGTTGGGCACTCCCAGTGTGGTAGAAAGACAGCGGGGCACTCTGCCTGCTTCCCCAACACCTCTCTTGCATCACTCCCTGGTAAATGCTGTCCTATCAGTTTGGTGTCTCTCGTCGCTGGAGCTGTGGGAAATCCTAGGACTCCAAGAATGAGACCTTCTTTGAGATGGCTCTGGAGGATTTAGTAACTTTGTTCTTCCAAGTGAAACTTTGGAGCCCTTTCAGGGCCCTTTCAGAGGGAGGCTGGGGAGGGAGGAGCCCCCAGGACCTCCCGGCGTCCTGTTACACACGGAGCCCCCGAGTAGTGCCTTCTCAGGACACTGCTGCAGGGTTCATTATCCTCATGTTACAGGTGAGGAAACGAAGGCTCAGAGACACAAAAGGACGTGTCCAAGGTCACATGGGCAGCTAGTGGCAGAGTCGGGATTTGGATCCGGGTTTGCCTGTCTTCAGAGACCCAGGAGTCACAGGCATTTGCTGTCTAGGATCACCCAGAGTTGATCTTCTACTTCTGCTTCCACCATCCTAACGTCTTTTAGAGCAATCGCCTCTTCCCTGTCGGGTGGAGTCTTGGGGCACTGTCCTTTAAGGTTCCCTGCCCTCCCTTAGACACTGACCCAAACTGAGCTCATCAGACGTGCCGTCCTGGACCCTGAGCCAGGAACAGAGAGTGACAGGGACAAGCACCCCATCCCCAAAGAGAGAGAAACAAACAGTGAAGAGCAGTCATTCCAGCCCTGGACTGATACAGCCATCGAGTAGCTCCAGCTTCCCAGGCTTGGGAGCTGTTGCAGTTCCTGTCCATTTCCAGGTCCCAGTTTTCAGATCCCACTCAGTGTGGCCTAGCTGATATCCTCCAAATAAATCCCCCTACTCCTATTTTATCTATTTATTTATTTATAGATGGGAAGTTTTACTCTATTGCCCGGGCTGGAGTGCAGTGATGTGATCACAGCTCACTCCTACCTCAAACCCCCGGGCTCAAGCAATCCTCCTGCCTTAGCCCTCCCGAGTAGCTGGGACCACAAGCACGCACCACCATGGCCAGATAATTTAACTTTTTTTTTTAATGTTGCCCAGGCTGGTCTTGAACTCCTGGCCTGAAGTGATCCTCCCACCTGGGCCTCCCAAAGTGCTGGGATTGCAGGCGTGAGCCGCCGCACCCGGCCTCCCCATTTTATTTGCTTTAGTCAGCCACAGTTGGTTTCCATTGTTTGTAATCAAATAATCCTCTCTGGTACCCTAAGCATGGTGTGGGATCCTGCTCTTTGCCTATGGGGAACCCCTCTGTTCTCTGTGTATTGATGAATTATGACATTTAAGGCACTCAGAACAGGGCCTGGCTCTCAAAAACGGTTCTGCCATTCTTACTGGACTCCGATTCTGTTCTCCTCTTGGACTTGGTTCACACAGGGGTCCAGGCCTGGGTGTGTGGCCGGTTCTGGGGCTATTGGGATCCCCACGAAGCCTGAGCTGACAGGTCTTGGTTCAGTTCCTACCAGGCAGATGCTGGTGTCGTGTCAGATTGAGGCTTACCACAGCTGGCATTAAGTGACCATGTGACTGCCTGGCAGCTGCCACCTGTGCCGTGTTCCAGGGGCCCCGGCCAGGAAGGGCTGGACTCACCATCCTCCCCAACAGTCGTGGTGCTATGAAGCATGATGATCGTCATTTTTCTGAGCACCTACTATGTGCCAGGCCCTGTAACAATAATAAGGGCAATCCTAATCATGAAAGCCACAGCATCAAACATTGTCAATTTGTTCTTCCCAGCATTCTTATGGGGAGGCTTGTGCCCATTTTACGGATGAGTAAATTGAGGTTGAGGAAATGGGACGATGCTGGGAAAACATGGAAGGTACTTGGGTTCCACTTGGTGTTTCAACTTCAGCAGAGGCGTTGGCTGGTTTCTTCAAGGTAAACACAGAAGTATTTGATTTTCCAAGACAGCATAGCTTAATTGACATGAGAAACACATACACTCCTCCTATTAATATGGCTTTGATTGTGCTCTCTGCAAAATATTCCTGGCTCTCTCATGTTATGGGGCCTTCGCCTCCTCCCTGGGTTATGTCTGGATCCTTGGGGACAAATGGGAACATCCTCACACAAGCTGGCCATGCACCGATGACTCCTAGATTTCTTTTTCTTTTCTTTTTTTTTAATTTTTTTATTTTTGAGACAGAGTTTCACCCTTGTTGCCCAGACTGGAATGCAATGGCACAATCTCAACTCACTGCCACCTCCACCTCCCAGGTTCAAGCGATTCTCCTGCCTCATCCTCCCAAGTAGTGAGATGACAGGCGTGCGCCACCATGCCCCACTAATTTTTGTATAATTAGTAGAGATGGGTTTCACTATGGTGGCCAGGCTGGTTTCAAACTCTTGACCTGAAGTGATTTGCCTGCCTCGGCCTCCCAGAGTGCTGGGATTACAGGTTCGAGCCACCGTGCCCCGCCAACTCCCAGATTCTATCTCCAGTCCAGCCGGATCCTGCCTCCTAGACTGGCTTCTCCAATGGCCTTCTTGACACCTCACTGGGATGCCTGGAAGACACCTCAAGCCCCACACATCCATACTCTCAGGCTCCCTCACTTCCTGACCCTGCTTCTTCTGCAACTTCCTTCACCTCGAGGGCTTGCAACTCTGTCCTCCTCATGCTCAGTCCAAAGCCCTGCAGCCCTCCTTGGCTTCCTCTCCTTCCACACCTCATCCCTTAGGCAATCATGCATGGGTCAGGAATTGATCACCTTTTTCCCTTCTGCCCCCTTCACCCTGGTCTGAGCCACCATCCTTTCTTGCCCGGATTACCCCGTTCTCTTCCTGCCCTGCTCCCAGCTCCTGTGCTGGATCCACCTTCATCCCTTCCCAACCCAGAGACTGGATGATCCTTTGAAGACAGGGGTCAGACCATGTCCCCTATCTGCTCCAGCCTGGATTACGACTTCCATTTTGCTCAAAGGTGTGAAGACCCCCAGGATCCTCCTGATCTGGCCTCAGGTCCCACAGCTCTTTTCTGCCTGCTCTGTTCAGCCACACTGGCCCCTTGCTGTCACCTCCCCCCCATGCCAGGCTGGCTCCTGGCACAGGGCCTTTGCACCAGCCACTCCCTCCTCCTTCTCGCTATGCACATGGCTCACTTCCTCATCTCCCACGAGACTGCTCAGTGAGCTCCTTCTTCCCCGACCACACTAAGATTGCATCGTCCACACCTCACACCCCAAACCCCTCCTCTCCCTCATGCTGCCCTACTTTTTGTTTGTTTCATAGCAAGCATCACCTTCTGATCCCCTTATTGAAGGATTTCACTTAAGTATCTACTTTAGGAGAATTTGCTGAAGGCGATTTATGATTGCTGTTCGTTGTCTGAATTATGTCAGCTCCTCCAGGGTGAAGCTCTTTGCCTGTTTTGTTCCCCACATGTCACAAGCTTCTGGAGCATTGCCATGCACACAGTGGACACCCCGCGGATGAATTCTCAACAGCTTTCCTCGGATCCTCAAATTTCTCCCTGACTCTGGGGTCACAGAGCGTCAGTTCATGTCCTCGTACACAGTATCAGGAGAACCAGCAGAAAAGAGAACGACCCTGCAGTGGAGGCTGTTGGCTCAGTTGTTGTTCTCGGCTGTTGGGATCTGCCCAGGTGAAAGCCCTCTTAGGCTCCTGCTCTGTCACACCTCCGGGCCTTTGCACATGTTGTGCCTCTTTCTTCCCAGTAGACTGTTGGGTGTCATTGAAAGCCCTGGTAAGGTATTGCCTCTTTCCTGAGGCCCTACAGGACACTGCCACCCTCCTCAGTCCTAGGAAACACGTAACCCCGTCTTCCTTTCCTGGTGTTTCTCAGTGTGTGGGTCCCAGTGCCTGGGATGTGGCTCTGTGTCCACTGCATCATCAGCTCCTTGAGGGCAGAGGCTGGGCTCTTGCTCTGTGTTCTGAGATGGCCTGGGGCTTGGCACAGGGCATGTGCCCAGTCAGTGTTCCTTGGGGAGGACACAGTAAATCTGACACAAGCCAGGAGAGAACAAAGAGGGTCGTGAAGACCCTTTCAAGGTCACTGGCAGGCGGGGAATGAACACTGTCTTATTTGATCATTTATTTATACTCTATTTTCAAATACGATTTGAGACAGCCTGAGATGAAAGGCATAGATACGGCAAAAATGAAGCTCTGCCTCTTGAGTGCCTCCTCCTCCTCCTCCTCCTCCTCCTCCTCCTCCTGGCTCTTCCTCCCTGGCTATAAACGTGCCCCAGTCTCTGTCCTCCTAACAAAAGTGCCCTAAACCCCCCAGCAGCTCTGTGGCCCTCTGCAGCCCAGGCTTTCAGACAGGGCCTTGCAACCACTGTCTATGCTCAGACCTGCTTTCTGAAGCTGGAGTCATCTCACTTCTGCCCCGTCCCTCCACCAAACCCATCTTAGCCAGGGCACTGGGCACTTCCATGTCACTGATACAGTGGACACACTCAGCTCTGTCACTGGAGTTCTAGGCAGCCCTGGGCATTTTGGCCCCTCTTCCCTTCTCCAAGCCCTTGCTTCCCTTGGCTTATTTGACTCTTGGAGTTTCTCTCTGGTTTCTCCTTCCCACCTCCCCTCCTCTGCTCATCCCATAAACATCTGTGAGCCTTGGGACTCCCTCTCTCCCCTTTTTCTATTCACCCTACACACTTTCCCTGAGCAATTCTCTTTTATTCCCATGACTGCAGTTACCATCAGGACTAGTTTGGGTAATTCTAGAAAGACATAAACCCCCCAAAACTCAGTGGCTTAACACAGTACTAATTCCTTTCTCCCTTCCATAAAGTTCATTCAGTAGCAAGAGGAGAGAAGGGGGCTTGGTTCCTTCTGGTCATCAAGGGATGCAGGCTCGATTCACTTGGCTGCAATTGACCCTGAATCTGTGCTCACATTGGACAAGAGCAGGGTGGGGGTAGCCCGTCCCCTTACCATCCCATCACCAGAAGATTGTCACCCTACCTCCCTGAGCATCCTTTCCTTCATCTATCCAGAGGGGAGCACACCACCCACCTTGAGACTCTGTTGTGAGGCTCCATGAGAGCACAGACACATGATGATGCTTATGAGGACGTTCTAGGTGGCCAGGGATAGGCTTCTTTCTCTCATATTTCCTGAGCCTAGGAAACATCTGCCAGTTGGCTGAACCCCGGAGCTGGGGGTGTGGCTAGAAGGAGATGGAGTCAGACACCATCACAAGTCATGTTCTCAGGGTGGCCTTGCTGCTAGGGACTGTGCAGGGACATCCCGGCCAGAGGGCAGCTGTGTGACTGGATCCTTCTCCATAAATTCGAGGCCAGAGCATGGGAACTCACCCAGAGAACTGACTCAGCCTTCTGGCTGGCTCTCAGAGCCTGTGCTGGGCTGCAGCATGGCTGACTGTCAAATCCATCACCCACAATCAACTTCACGACAGTGGGCATATGTCACTGGCTCTCAAAGCCAGACAGGCTGGACCCTCGGTCCTCTTCACAGGGAGGGAGGACTGACACTGATTGAGCACCTACTGTGTGCCAGGCATTCTCTTAAGTGGTTTATATCCACCATCGCTTAAGTCTTATGGTAGCCTAGGAAGGAGGTCATCGTTCCCATCTCACAAAATCAGGAAACCAAGACTTAGGAAGCTTAAGATTTCAAAATTTCAATAAAAGCACAACAAGAAAGAGGAAGCCCAAGGCATGCACACTTCAAACACCCAGCAGCTTATCTATGAGCTCTCTCTTGACCCACTTCTTGAACTCTCCTAAGACCGTATCACGGAAAGGAAAGGAAGCAGGGACTGGGGATTGGAATGCCTGGCCTCTCAGTGCAGAGGCAGCACTTACTAAATGAGTCATGTTGTGCAAAGCATTGTAACCTCTTGAAGACTCAGTTTCTCATCTGTCAAATGGTCACAATCACACTGCTCTCCCAAGGGCAAGGGAGAGGAATTCACAAACTGCCAAAAGATCCACATTTTCTTCCTCTTTTTGAGATGGGGTCTCACTCTGTCACCCAGCCTGGAGTGCAGTGGCCTCCCAAAGTGCTGGGAGGCCCCGTTCTCTCCTCTTGTTACTGAATGGACTTTATGAAAGGAGGAGAGGAATTTGTACTGAGTTAAGCCACTGAGCTTTGGTTTATCTCTTTATAGAATTACCTGAACTAGTCCTGGTGGTAACTGCAGTCATGGGAATGAAAGAGAATTGCTCAGGAGAAGTGTGTCGGGTGAATAGAGAAGGGGGAGAGAGGGAGTCCCAAGGCTCACAAATATTTATGGGATGAGCAGAGGATGGGAGGTAGGAAGGAGAAACCACAGAGGTAGAATGGACCCCAAGGGTGTGGCATCCAGCAGAAGCAAAGAGGTCAGGAGCCACGGAACCTGGCCAGCATTTTCTCTGGTTCAGCTGCTGCCATCTCCCACTCAGATGCTCCTTAGGGGTCTTCTGTGGCTTACTCTGTTCTTTGGCAGTCTCTTCTCTGCACAGCAGCTAAAGGAATTTTTTGAAACAGAAATTAGATCATGCCACTTCCTTGCTCGAAACCCTTAAATAAGTTTACATGCATTCCTGACACCTTGTGTGAGCAAGCTCTGACTATCTCTTGGCACCTGTCCCTTTCCCTTAGCTTTCTCTTCAGCCCCTGGCCTCCTTTTTACCTTTTTGTCACCCTGTGCTTGTATTTTTTCTTTTATTGAGACAGAGTCTTGCACTGTTGCCCAGGCTGGAGAGCAATGGTGTGATCTCAGCTCACTGCAACCTCCGCCTCCTGGGTTCAAGCGATTCTCCTGCCTTAGCCTCCAGAGTAGCTGGGATTACAGGCACCCTCCACCACTCCTGGCTAATTCTTTGTACTTTTAGTAGAGACAGGGTTTCACTATGTTGGCCAGGCTGGTCTTGAACTCCTGACCTCATGATCCACCTGCCTTGGCCTCCCAAAGTTTTACAGGATTACAGGCGTGAGCCACCGCGCCCGGCCCACCCTGTGCGTTTTCCTTGTTCCACGGCCTTTGCACATGCACTCTCCTCTGCTTGGAATATGCCTGTCTCATGCCCTTCAACTGGACAACACCTGCTCCTGCTTCAGATTGCAACAGAAATGTCGTTTGCTCGGAGATGCATCTTTCTGCTCCTCTATCTAAATTAGCTTCCCTGGGTCTCTCTCCTGCAGCACGCCATCTCTTTCACTCTGCATGATTTGCTATTGCTTTTTTACTTATTGGTTTTTTAATGTCTGTCTCCCTCTTTTTTTTTTTTTTCTCTTTTTGAGACAGAGGCTCACTCAGCCACACAGGCACCTTCTCCACGTCAGTGCAGTGGCACAATCTTGGCTTACTGCAACATCCCCTCCCAGGTTCAAGCCATTCTCCTGCCTCAGCCTCCTGAGTAGCTGGGATTACAGGCATGCACCACTACGCCCGGCTAATTTTTTGTATTTTTGGTAGAGATGGGGTTTCTCCATGCTGGTCAGGCTGGTCTCGAACCCCAAAGTGCTGGGATTACAGGCGTAAGCCACTGTGCCCGGCCCTGTCTCCCTTTTAGAATACGAGTTTCAGGCACCACATCTGCTCTGCTGGTGGTCAAGTCCCCATCCCCAGCACAGCGCCTGGCACCAAAAGGGCACTCAACACTTTTAGTGGAACGAGCAGAGGTGTTTGCTGCTGTTTCCCCAGCGTTCCCAATCCTGCCATTCCAGTCTTGTGCTAGAAAGAGTGCAGCCCCAGGATCCAGCCTGTAGGAAGGAGAGGTGGCCTTGTGAAGGCCCCCCTGCATTCCCAGGCCCCAAGGAGGTGCAGGAGGAGGGAGAGCCTCTCCAGCCAGCCCTCTGGTTCCAGAAGAGCAGCCCGCCTGTCTCCCTCACCTGCTGCAGTCCCAGAATCCCCTAGACAGCACTGAGGCCACCTCTGCAAAGCTGGGCCCCAGATGACAAGGTTCTCCTCTCACCGGGACCACTGGGACACCATGCAACATCTGACCTATATTAATCACAAGTGCTTATTCGCCGTCTTGGTCCCCTCCCACCCAGCACTAAACCCCACCCTGCACAGGCACCTCCATCCATCCAAGGACGTTGTAAAAATAAAATGATCACAACCTAGCCCTCGGGGAGCCTCGGCCTCAGTGTGTCCTGCTCTGAGGCGGGCAGCATTCACAACCCAGTTTGATGAGGAGAAGCAGAGAGAAGGAGGAAAAAAGGAGGAAGGAATTTGTGGAGGAGGAGGGAGTGAGGCAGATACGCAAGAACTTGAAGACATGAGGGTAGATGAGATGAGAAAGAAAGGGAGAAAGTGACAAGGAAGAGGAATGAGAGCAACACATGGAGAGAAGAAAAATTAGCAAAAGAGCCCAGGGGAGCGATCGGGGAGCGCGACTAGAATTCTAACAAGAACAGTGGAAGCCTTATAAAGAACATTAAATAGATGGGAACAGAGAAGCAAAGAATCCTGGAAGGAAATTGGTTAACAGGAGAAGAATGGGATGAAAGGAAGAAAATAAATGAAAAGCAAATAGAACTGACTCTTCTGCTCACCCCTCCAAATGAAACTGGGCTGTTTGCTGAAAATAGAAACAGACGAAGTGAAACAGCCCAGGAATACACGAAGGCTGAAGGCCGAAGAGTTGGGAAGGAAGGGTTGGCGCATAAGACAGAAGGCATTGGAGGCAGACCCAGGTGACAGCTTCGGTGGGGGCTTTCACCAACGACCGGACCGGCTCCTGAAAGCTGGTTGCCGTTCTAGCCTCGGGCCAGGCATGTCCAGTCCTCAGAGGTCTGGCTCGGACGCAAGCTCTTTCCCGGACTCCACACCTGCCTTGCCCTGCCGTGCCCTGCCCTGCCCGGCTGGGAGTTTTCAGTTCCAGGAGGCCGGCTGCTGGTTGCTCAGGAGCAAACTGTTCCCCTAAGGCCCTGGTCAAACCCATCGACTCCATTATCTCTCTTCTTCAGCCTTGACCTCAGAGGCTCTTGGGCAGCCAAGGGTTCTGTCTGGGAATGTGTAGTCTCCCCCAGGTCCATCCTCGAGATGCACATTTGGACAAATGCACATTTAGACATTTTGTCTCCAAACGTGCAGTAAAAAAACGCAGTGCACTCAGAATTGCCATCCTTCTGTCTTCCTTCCTTCGCTAATGCACTATTCAACAAGGACTAACTGAGCACTTAGTATGTGCCAGGACTCCAGTGGATAAGACAAGTCTCTGCCCTGCAACACTTAGAGTTTCTCTGTCCTCTTTCCTCCCATCTTTGACTCCTCCCTTCTTTTTTGCTCATATCCAGCCCTCCCGTGTATCAGTTATTCTTGCTGCATTGGAAACCGCCCCAAAACTTACTGGGTGCAAACTAATGCCAATGGTTTGTGATTACATCTCTCACGCATCTGGGGGTTGACTGGGCTCCGCCAGGTAGTTCTCGCCAGGGTCTTTCACTCAGTCACAGTTAGATGGGGGCTGAGGACTGGGGGCCGGGGCTGAAGCTGGTTTGAAGGCCTCCTCCCTCATGTGTCTGGTAGCTGGGAGCTCACCTCGAGCTGGCAGCTGAAACTTCTATGGGTGGCATCACCATGTGTTCTGGGCTTCCTTACTGTGTGGTAACTGGGTTCTAAGGGGTTGTGGTACCTTTTTCCTACCTACTGTCAGAAGTCACAGAGCATCGCCGCCATTGTGTTCTATTGGCAGTAATGCTGTGCTCTAAGGCAGTCACGGAGATCCATCCAGGTTGATGGGGAGGGGACACAGACCCCACCTCATGATGGAGGAGTGGCAGAGTCACTTGTAGGATGAGTATGTGGGAGCATCTTTGGAAAATACCATCTTCCACAGTTCACCTTCTGGCCACAGTCATTCACAATGATTCACACCCACCCCTGTTATGAGCTGAACTGTGTCTCCCCCAAAATCCATATGTTGAAGCCCTAATCCCAGCACCTCAGAATGTGACTGTATTTGAAGACAGGTTCATTTAAGAGGTGATTAAATGGCAATGAGGTTATTAGCATGTGTCCTAATCCAATATGACTGTTGTCCTTATTAAAAAAGACTTGGGCACAGACATACACAGAAGGAAGAGTATGGGCAGACACAGGGAGAAGGTAGCCGACTGTAAGCCAAAGAGAGGCCTCCGAAGAAACCAATCCTGCTGACACCTTGATCTTGGACTTCCAGCCTCCAGAAGACACCCAGACTGTGGAATTTTGCTATGGGAGCCCTAGCAGGTGGATACATGCCCCACATACAAAATCTATTCATTCCTTTCCCTCAAGATCTGTCTGGCATCAGCTCAAAGGCCAGGGTCCACCCAGGTGCAGGTATGGACATGTCTCCTCAGGTGGCGTTTCTTGGGTACAGCTCCTTGAGTGCCACCCCATTCAACAGGAAGACCTGTGAGCTACAGAAATGAGTTACCTGCCCTCCTACTCCACAATGGTGATTTAGGCATAGGATAACTGTTTAACACCATAGGCACCCCTAAGCTAAAAGTGGGGGAGTGGGAGACACACAGGAGTCACCGGTCCAGAGCAATTCTGAAATCCATCTGGGTATATGTTGCCAGTTCCTGGCTTAGTCCTCAGCCCAGCTGCCTGGGAAAGACCCCCACATGGCTCCTCACTCTGCCCTCTGGGCTCTTGCTTCTTTCCTCCGGTCCACTCTTGGGTTTCCATAAGAAATGCCCAGTGTTTGCAGCTGAGCAGTTTTTCTGAACCTGATTTCTGCCCATGGAGATTTTATGGTCCCAAATCTCCCTTTTCATTTGATGCTTTCTCTAACCCTTTCATTCAAAGCCAAAACAGGTCCTTTAAAAATTGTGTAGGTTTCTTATCTTCTGAGTCAATTTATAATCCCTTCCATTAGACAAAAGCCATACCCACAAATCTCTTTTTTCACATTGGGTTCTTGGCAAGGCTGCTCTTATGATTCTTAGGAGCTCTATTATTTAACAGAAAGGGTCTTCAACATATGCTGTTAAGATCCTTAGAAGGCCTTTGTCTGCTTGCAAAGGTAATGAGGTACCGCCTTAAATCCTTCTAAGTCCTAATAAAAGGCTTTATAGTTATGTCCTTGGATTCATCTTTAACTGTTTTCCTATTAATGACCCTGGTTTTAATCTTTGCCTGGAAGTTATTTCTTATTTTGGGAAGGAGGAAAGTTTCAAACCAAGGAAATCTTGGTTCCTTTATCTTTAATAGTTCATTCTTCAGCTTCTCTTATTGACAGAGTAGGATTTGAACTCAGGACTACTTGGCCTCGAAGCCTGCACTCTTGCTGACAAGTCCTGTCACTTCTCTGCACAGTGGAGCCAGCAGGGATTCCATCAAGTCCTGGGGAAGAGTGGGATTTGAGCAGGTAGAAGAAGGAGGGTGTGCCAGGCAGGGGTGTCACCTGAATGAAGAAATGGCAGGAAATGCAAGGTGCACTAGGAGACAGAGGCAGTCAAGTGCATGTGAGAGAGACGCTAACGAAAGCAGAGGCTGTGAATGTCCTGCCCGTATTCCTTCAGCCCAGCCCGGGGGCCCCCTGAAGACGGTTCTCTGCTTGCTGGCACTGTCCTGTGTCACTTGGCAGGCCCTAGAGACTCAGGGTGGGAGTGCCAGGGGTTGATGCTCCCTCTCACTAAGGACAGACAGGAGCTGGAGTGTAAATACCCAGCTGCCTTGCCCTGGGGCTGGCAGATCTGAGAAATCTCCTACCAATGCTGCCTCTCAGAGGCCCCCAGGCTCACAGGGGCTACCCCCATTTCAGTGTACATTTTACTGGCTTTTTGGGTCCATCCCTGTCTCACTTCTCCATTCCCCCATGCTCCTTCTGGGGCAACCTCCAAGATAAACTACCTGTTCCCAAACACTTATCTCAGGGTCTGTCTCTGGAGAAAAGAAAACTAAGAATTTTTTTTTTTTGAGACAGGGTCTGACTGTGTCACCCAGGCTGGAGTGCAGTGGCGCGATCTTGGCTCACTGCAACCTCTGCCTCCTGGGTCCGAGCGATTCTCCTGTCTCAGCCTCCCAAGTAGCTGGGACTACAGGCGCCCACCACCATACTTGGCTGATTTTTTTTTTTTTTGTATTTTTAGTAGAGATGGGGTTTCACTATGTTGGCCAGGCCGGTGTTGATCTCCCAACCTCAAGCGATCCGCCTGCCTCAGCCTCCCAAAGTGCTGGGATTACAGGTGTGAGCTATGAAACTATGAAGTATCCCGTTTGCTGGATGAAGAAACTGAAGCAGAAAGAAGTTAACACAGAGTAGCCAGGAAACAGAACTGAAGGAAAGCCTTTGAAATGAAAGTGCCAAGAGTGTGTGTGTGTGTGAGCGTGTGTGTGAGTGTGTGTGTGAGTGTGTGTGTGTGAGGTGTGTGTGTGAGTGTGTGCGTGAGGGTGTGTGTGTGAGTGTGAGTGTGTGTGTGGTGTGTATGTGTGAGTGTGTGAGTGTGTATGTGAGTGTGTGTTGTGTGTGAGGTGTGTGTGAGTGTGTGTGTGAGTGTGAGAGTGTGTGTGAGTGTGTGTGTGAGTGTGTGTGTGAGTGTGTGAACAGAGGGAGGTAGTGCGTGAGTGGGCGGTGGGGAAGGGAGGCAAGATGAGGCTGGTGAGGCGGGTGCACACCAGGGCAAGGGTTTGGGTCACTAACCGAGGGGTACAGGAAGCCTTGGAAGGCTTTGGGCAGGCAGGGTGACATGTTACGATGCGAAGACACAGTCACCCTGGAGAGCGAGGCAAACCTGTATTAAAAGGCTCCAGGGCCGGGCGTGGTGGCTCACGCCGGTAATCCCAGCACTTTGGGAGGCCGAGGCAGGTGGATCACGAGGTAGGCAGATCGAGACCATCCTGGTCAACATGGTGAAACCCCGTCTCTACTAAAATTTACAAAAAATTAGCTGGGCACGGTGGCGCGTGCCTGTAATCCCAGCTACTCAGGAAGCTGAGGCAGGAGAATTGCCTGAACCAGGAGGCGGAGGTTGCAGTGAGGCGAGATCGCGCCGTTGCGCTCCAGCCTGGATAACAAGAGCGAAACTCTGTCTCAAAAAAAAAAGGCTCCAAGCAGATGTAAGGAGGTGATTAGGACACTTTGGTGGTCACTCTAGGGGGCCCTGGGGACTTGCCTGGCAGGGGCCACTGAGCTCCTCGGTGGTCTCCAGAACCCTGGGGGCCACATGCAGGCCAGTGCCTGCCTCTTTCCCTCCCCTCCCAAACCCCTTCCCCTTCCTCTTAGGTCACTGAGACCCTCCATATTTTCACCTCAGGGTCTCTGGCCTGGGGAGGGTCTGGGCTGGGGAGCCAGGCACCCCCTGCAGCCCGGCCAGGCTGGCAGCTCAGCAAGAAGGCCAGCCAGACCTCCTGACTAGCAACCAGCCAGGCACCAGAGGCAAGCACGTGGCTGGGTGGGTGCCACTGTCTGCCCCAACGCCCTGAGCTTGCCACGCTGCTGAGCAGATGCTCTTGTAAGTGAGTGCGATCAGAATGGGGTCAGGAGGGTCTGCTGGCCCCACCTTCTCCTCCACCTCTGCTGGGCTCCACTGCCTTTGCTGCTGTCCTGGAAGAGCTGACCAGCTTGACTGGCCAGGGCACCATGCAGCCAGGAGTGGCAAAGTGTGGCGTGATGTGACCCAGGCGTTCAGTTGTGCAGGGTGCAGGGGACATGGATCCTGGGGGCTCTGGTGCAGGTGAGGCAGGACTGGAGTGGAGGAAAGTGGTAGGAGAGTGACAGGGGTGTTGGCTACCCTGCAGTCACTTCAGGGAGCCCCTGGCTGCACATTGAGCCCGAGTGTGTGACTTGTGGTGTCGGAAGGTCTGGCGTCTCTAGGGAGGAGCAGAAGGGAACTGGAACTTGCTGAGGGCCTACTATGTGCCTGGTCTTCAGCAGGTGCTTCCTTGGGTTATTACTGGCCCCTTGCCCCACTTCAGAAGCCCTCTGTCCACCCTTCCTGGGGGCCTTTTCTTTTAACCTTCCATGCTGGGGGTTCCAGCTCCCCACTTCACAGTGTTTATGACTCGGGTCTTCCTTCCACCTTGGGATAGGACCTGCAGGACAGCGGTGTCCCTGCAAGCCTTTCCTCCAGCGTCCCTAGCTGCAGGATCCTTCCCAGGCACCTGCTTATCTGCTTGGGTAGCTTCTTTGTGAGCAAATGAACACAGGTTCTCCACAAGTCCCAATTCCTGCATGCCAGAGTAATCATCTTCGCCTTTCTGAGCCTCAGTTTTCTCCTCTGTAAAATGGGCAAAATCACTCCCACCAGCCAGGTGCAGTGGCTCTCACCTGTAATCCGAGCACTTTGGGAGGCACAGATGGGTGGATCACCTGAGGTCAGGAGTTCGAGACCAACTTGGCCAACATGGTGAAACCCTGTCTGTACTAAATATACAAAAATTAGCTGGGCGCGGTGGCATGCACCTGTAATCCCAGCTACTTGGGAGGCTGAGGCAGGAGAATCGCTTGAACCTGGGAGGCAGAGGTTGTAGCGAGCCAAGATCATGTCACTGCACTTCAGCCAGGGTGACAGAGCAAGACTATCTCAAAATCAATCAATCAATAATAAGAAGAAATCACTCCACCTTGAAAGGTGAGGCTTAAAGGGGATGAAGAAGGTAGAAGCCTGGCACAGAGGAAGTGCTGATCAGAGGCGCAGTGCCAGCCGTGTGGCTGGGGTAAGTGTCTGCACCTCTCTGAGCCACCCTGCCTCAGCCCTAAAGTAGCCCTATCCTGCACAAGGAAAGGAGGGAGAGAAGGGCAGCTGACATGGTGTGTGAGCTGTGAGGCTTGTGCACTGGGACAGCTGGAGCCTGCATCACATCCCATCCATGTGAGTCAAGGTTTGGGTAAGGTGAAGGCATCTCTCCACCCCACCTAGCACTGGCAGCCAGGGATCTTGGAGGCTCCCCTCCATCCCACGTGGCTCTCTCTTCCTCCATCACCCATTTTTCCTTGGGCCTTTGCACTGGTTTTGCAGCCTGTGGCTGGGCACTGGTGCCAGTCCTGTCTTGCATGAGGCGCCAAGGCTGCCCATGTTGTGTGGGGGAGAAGTGAGATCCCCCATCTTGACTCAAGGCTCAGCCCTAGGCAACACCCCCATATCCTGGTGTCTGCCGCTGTCTCTGGAGTTAGGAGTCCCAGAGCCTGCAAGAGAGGGGAACATGTGGCAACCCCAGAGGGTGAGGACAGAGAAGGGGGCTCTGTTGAGAGCTCCTGCTGCAGGCTGCAGCCACCCCCTCTGCCAGCCTGGCCAGGGCAGCCACCCCAGTCAGGCCCCCACTGTATGCCCGGCATGCTCCCATGGTACGTCTCACCTTCACACTGGCCCAGCGAGGGAGGAACAACCATCCCATTTTACAGATGGGGAAGCTGAGGTTCAGGCAGGCTTGCCCGAGGTAATCCCTAAGTGTGTCTGGCTGCTTCCGGAATTCCATAGGCTGCTGTTATCATAGAATCAATGGTCAACCCAGGAGCAGTGGCATGCACCTGTGATTTCAGCTACTTGGGAGGCTGAGGCAGGAGGATTGCTTGAGGCCAGGAGTTTAAGACCAGCCTGGGCAACATATTGAGACTGGTCTCTTAAAAAAAAAAAAAAGAGTCCAAGCATGCCTGTAATCCCAGCACTTTGGGAGGTCAAGATGGGTCAGGTGAGGTCAGGAGCTCGAGACAAGCCTGACCAACATGGTCATACTCCATCTCTACTAAAAATACAAAAATTAGCTGGGCATGGTGGCGGGCACCTGTAATCCCAGCTACTCGGTAGGCTGAGGCAGGAGAATTGCTTCATCCCCAGAGGCAGAGATTGCAGTGAGCTGAGATCGCACCACTGTACTCCAGCCTGGGTGACAGAGTGAGACTCTGTCTCAAAAAAAAAACAAAAAAACAAAAAAAGAATCAGAATCAGCTGAGTTTTCTTTGTGGCACCAAGCATTTATTTCCAACACTCAACCATCAGCAGGTTTTGCCCCTGAGACCAGTACGCACCTGAAGGGAGGCGGCTGGGAAGGTCCCAACCTTCCTCCGGCGGTTTCCTGAGACTCACAGACATCTGAAGGTGGCGGTGGCATCACTAGAAGCCTGCACTGGGGAATGCTGGTTGCAGGTCCACTGCATCCTCAGCCATAACCTAAACAGTTGCCTTGGCTTCCTGGGGTGGCTGTGCAGGTTGAGTGAGAGGAGACACGCTGGAAGAGGCTTTAGGGGAGCCTGGGCACCAAAGTGGGGCTCACAGGGGTTAGGCCGATGCTTGTACCTTGCACTCAGCTTGCCCTTGAGCAAGGGAGCTGCTGTTGGAATCTGCAATGAGGCAATGAGGCAGGAGAAAAAAGAGACTCAGATGTCAAGAAGGCGCCCGAGGTCACAGAAGAAGCCAGGTGTCATGTCATCCATCCCGGGTGCATTTTCATCTTTTGCGAAGTGGTACACAGACATCCGCTTCAAAGAGGTGTCATGTGAAATAAAATCAAGATACAATGTATGAGCTACTGATTTTTTGAAAATGATACTTGTTCATGCAACTTTCTTCTTTGCTTAAAAACTTCCTTTTATACTGCGGTAATCCACTATGATCTATATCCTGCATGCTTTAAACAATTGTTTCATGGATATATGTTAGTTGTATCTATTTTGGGGGGTATATGTGATATTTTGACTATCTGCTTTTGTTTTGTTTTGTTTTGTTTTGTTTTTGAGAGTCTCACTCTGTCGCCCAGGCTGGAATGCAATGGTGCAATGTCAGTTCACTGCAACCTCCGCCTCCTGGGTTCACGTGATTGTCCTGCTTCAGCCTACCGAGTAGCTGGGACTACAGGCATATGCCGCCATGCTCAGCTAATTTTTGTATTTTTAGTAGAGACAGGGTTTCACCATGTTGTCAGGCTGGTCTCAAACTCCTGACCTCGTGATACACCTACTGTGGCCTCCCAAAGTGCTGGGATTACAGGTGTGAGCCACCATGCCCGGCTGACTGTCTGCTCTTAATTTAAATGCCATCTGATAAATGATACGGTGACTAGGGGATTTCTGGACTTGGCACCTGAACTCAGTGCAGTCCTTATCTCAGGGTATTTGATGCTTACTGTTGGAACGGCTTGGTCAATTGAAAATTAGGTCATTTTAATCCATGGACTAGTTCTCTTTCGGGTAATTGTAATCAACGTGTAAATACACTAGGGCAAACCGGAGAGGGTACATTGAAGGTAAACAGTGCATCACGGTGTCCACTCAAGAGTGCACCTTCACTTAACACAGGTTACAGGGGCAGAACCAGCCCGTTCTCCATTTTTGTGTGTAGTTCCATGCTTCAAATGTATCTTAATTTTATTTGCTTTTCTCAAACCTGAAATAAATTTTAGCTTTTAAGCTATAGCAGGGGGGAAAGAAAAAAAGCCTCAGCCCTGCAGCAAGGCCAGTGCTCACATTCTCGTCCTCTCTCTGCCCTTAGCGAGGTCCCAGTGCAGAAAGCACCCTGGTCTTTGGTGGTTGAGATCCTTGCCCTTGGTGGAATCCTACAACCCTCAGAACGACAGGGCCCCCTGGACTGTGAGCCAGTGGACCAGCTGTTTCTTGAGGTTTCAGGGAAACAGACAAGCTTCGAGCACAGCTGGGTTGCAGCATGTTTTTTTCTTCCTTTTCGCCTTCAGCCGTGGCAGCCCGCTCCTGATTTCTCTGGAAAGGCAGCTCCTAATTAGAATGGATCGAAGAGTCTTTGCTTCAGCTTTGTTCTCGGTCTCGACTGAATTGTTGCTTTAGGACTTAATCTGGTGCAGCCACTGGTTGGCTGATAGCCTTGGTTCTCCGAGCTCCTCTCAGGCTCAGGCAGGCTGGCACCCAGGGGGCACCCAGAGCTCTGCCCCCTCTCACTCCAGCCCTCTCTTCCTTCTTTCTTCTCTCCACTTGCCTTCTCTCTCTCTAATTTCCTTTCATTAATGACCCAGGGCTGCCCAGGGTGCCAGTCCCCACTGGTGGGAGTGTAAACTGGTACAATTTATCTGGATGGCAATTTGTCAAATGCTATTAAAAGCTTTTTTTTTTAAAAAAAAGTACATAGATTTTGACTTGGAAAGTCCCTTTCTAGGAATGTGTGTCCTGGAGAAATAATTGGACAGGGGTCGACAGATATGTGCAAGGGGACACTGTCCTTGGCAGTTTTCCTGAGTGACCACCTGGAAACCCGGTGTCTTTCAACAGGAAATCATTACGTGTGGTCACATGATAAACTAACTGCAAAAGAACCTTTGGGGTCAATCAGGGAAATTTGAATGTGGACTGAGCAGTAGATGCTCCTAAAGAATTACTGTTAATTTTATATAGCATGACGATGGCCTTGTGGTTGGTTTAGAGGCAGTGACTGAAGGACTGGTATTTGGTTTAAATGATTGTAGCCACCGCCATCATGGAGGGGAACGGGTAAGTGCCACAGGATTTGGAAGTTCTGAAACTGGGTGTCAGGTAAATGAGCGTTCATCACACTATTCTGTTTCTGTGTAGGTTTTAAAATTCTCACTATTTAAAAAGAAATAAAACGACCATGTAAAATCTCTCTCTCTCTCTCTCTCTCTCTCTCTCTCACACACACACACACACACACACACACACACACACACACACGCTCGTTTTGAGACAGAGTCTTGCTCTGCAACCTCCCCCTCCTGGGTTCAAGAGATTCTCCTGCCTCAGCCTCCCAAGTAGCTGGGACTACAGGTGCCAGATGCCACACCCAGATAATTTTTGTATTTTTAGTAGAGATTGAGTTTCATCACGTTGGCCAGGCTGGTCTCGAACTCCTGACCTCAAGTGATCCGCCTGCCTCGGCCTCCCAAAGTGTTGGGATTACAGGTGTGAGCCACTGCACGTGGCCTAAAATCATATTTTCTAACCTCAAATAATATGCACCAGGTACTGTTAAAAGACATAAGTTCCAAATAGTATATATGGCATTATCACATTTTTGTTTGTTTGTTTCAAAATATGTACGTATTTTTACATGCAGGGGGAAAGGGAGAAGGCGCGCACACTGGGTGTGATGGGCGGTTACCTCTGAGGGGCAGGATTTGAATATGTTCTATTTTCTTTTTTATGCTTTTAGTAATAGTTTCTGACTTTTTTTTTTTTTTTTGCAATAAGCACCCATTATTTTCCTGTCATAAAAAAGCCATCGTTACTACAGATGATTTGGAAATCATTTATGGTGCACTGAACATGTACTATATGTCTGCCTTCTGAAAGGTTTTCTATATCTCAATCCACCCACAACAATCGGTAAGGTTGGTGGTATTATTCTCATTTGATAAAGAAGAAAATTGAGGATCAGAGAGGGTCAGTGCCTTGTCCAAGGACACACCGCTGCAATCCTAATCCTACTCTTCTGATGTGAAGCCGGTGCTCTTACCTCTAGACCTTGGCTGTATCCAGAGGGTCTACAGGTGGTATCAGATGTAGTTCCCGCCCTCTAGATGGTGGCCCTGTCTTTGGTCTCCTGGTGTTTTACCCCCATACAATTCTCTGGTCACGCCTCTCTGCCCACCCCCCCGCACCAACCTCCAGAACCAGTTACATAATGGCTTGGTGAAATTGCACTTTTCGACCAGGCGCCATGGCTCACACCTGTAATCCCAGCAATTTGGGAGGCTGAGGCAGGTGGATCATGAAGACAGGAGTTTGAAACCAGCCTGGGCAAGATGGTGAAACCCTGTCTCTACTAAGAATATGAAAATTAGCTGGGCGCAGTGGTGGGCGCCTGTAATCCCAGTTACTTGGGAGGTTAAGGCAGGAGAATCGCTTGAACCCAGGAGGCTGAGATTGTACCACTGCACTCTAGCCTGGGCAACAGAGCAAGACTCCATCTCAGAAAAAAAAAATGCATTTTCCCCCTCAGATCACGGGTGAAACTCGAAAGCTGCCCGTTCAATATTTTCTGCTAATGAGCCTTCCTAGTCTTCTTGCCTTTTTAGGATGGAAACAAGCTCTTTGCTACCGTCCTCCTCATATCCATCAGCCGTTTACTGGCAGCGCTGAAGAGTGAACGGGCATGGTATACATAAACATCATCCGATCCACAGAGGGCCGGCCAGCCCGAGTTCTTAATCCTGGCTCCATCACTGACAATTTGCAACTCAGAGAAGTCACTGTCTCGGTGTTTTCTCTGTCTGTAAAGTAAATAAAGGATAACACACTTTAAAAATCAATTGGTCTTCTGAACAAAAGGGATGGGTGTGTGAAACGAGGCCAACTCTAAGGGGCTGAAAATACATTTCCCCAATTTTGGCTAATCCTGGAGGTGGTGAAGCCTTGTCCTCCCGTACCCCTGGTCTCCATCAGCTCTGGGTCTCCTTACCGCCAGGCACCGCCTATCCCATTCCATCCTCGAATTCCTCCAGGCTGATCTTTCCGAAGCAAAAATCCAGGCAAGTCCCTTCTGATAAAACCCTGTAATGCCTCTCCCCTCCCTTCTGGAAAAAGTCCAACTCCTCTGCTCTGGGGACAAAGAGCTTCATGTTCTTGCTTCATCCTTGTCTCTGACCTCACATGCTGGGCCCTTGTCTCTCCCCAAACCCTACAATGCACACAGTTCCCCAAGAGGGCCTCCAGCTTCGTGCCTCAGGGCCTTTGCATACCTTTCCCTTTGTCTGGAGTTCTCGTCACTGGCTAACATCAGGTATTTCCCTGCAAGGTCCCTGGAAACCATTCCTAGGCAGCAGACCTGGAGCTCCTCCAGAGCACCTCCTCAGTCCTCCCTGATCCCCAGTGCAGGGCAGGACCCAGCACAGAGATGAATGCTGGAATGGGAAGCACAGGTGCAAAACCAAAGGCTTCCTTCCACATTTCCAGGATGGGCACAAATTGCCCAGTGGAGGCAGCTTAGTGTAATGATCAGTTCCTGTCCAGGATCAACTGACTCTGTGCTTCTTGCCACTCCAGTTTGGGCCAGAGACATTTAAGTATTCCGTTTTAAAAAACACAACATTTTAGCACCCAAATGAATGCATCTTATTTATAGACACTGAAGCAGGTTGCCTCCTGCTCCCAACTCTCCTTCCAAAAGACAGTGTAACCAATGCAGTTTTCCCAGATACGGGAAACTACAGGGCTCCTCTCAGCAGAAACAGTGTTCAGGGAAACATGCCTGGCGGGCCGCTCCTACCCCATCCTCATCTGCATGGAGGCAGCAGGGAAGGGCCTGCGTGTCCTGCAGGCAGTGCTTTGGAACCGGGCAACTATTTCTGAACACCGACCCCAAACGCGACTGACCCCACCTCGTGTCCACCCTCCCAGTCACCTGGGCTTCCCCGCCCTCTGTGGTTGAATCAGGTGATGTCCAGAGTCAGCCAAAGATACTGCGGAATGGCAGCCCAGAGCCATGGAAGAGGACAAGAGGCCGGGTCCTGGGCCAAACCGCTCTTACAGAAGGCAGGAATCGTGGAGGACAACAAATAGACCCTTTCTCTGAGATCCCAAAGGAGATGGAGGGGCGGTTCCTCTACCCACCCTGAGGATTTGAAAGATGAACCCTTTTGGGTTCCACTGGAGTTTAGAAATCAAGTGTCGGCTCCTCTTTCTCCTCCAGGGATTGCAGGTGATTCTAGGACAGGGTCGCATCTTGTGTGCATCCACACCTCCATGCTCATTGGACTTTACTGAGGCCCAGTGCTGGGCACCAGGAAAAGAAAGTGGTCAAGCTCCACCTTTGAGGGGGCACTGGTGAACCAACCATGCCCAGAGGGTGCCAGGCGCTCTGAACCTCAAATCCAGCATAAACAACACCTTCGAAGTGAGGTCCTTCCCGACCTCCCTGTTTAATACTGCAGCCCCGCCCCGGCATGTCCTCTGTACCCCTCTGCTCTACTGCAGCCCCGCCCTGGCATGTCCTCTGTACCCCTCTGCTCTACTGCAGCCCCGCCCCGGCATGCCCTCTGTACCCCTCTGCTCTACTGCAGCCCCGCCCCGGCATGTCCTCTGTACCCCTCTGCTCTACTGCAGCCCCGCCCTGGCATGTCCTCTGTACCCCTCTGCTCTACTGCAGCCCCGCCCCGGCATGTCCTCTGTACCCCTCTGCTCTACTGCAGCCCCGCCCCGGCATGTCCTCTGTACCCCTCTGCTCTACTGCAGCCCTGCCCCGGCATGTCCTCTGTACCCCTCTGCTCTACTGCAGCCTACCAGACTGCAGCATGTACCTGGTCCATTGAACACCTCTCTCACCCCCCTAGAATGTAAACACCCTGAGGGGAGGCATTGTTGTGTTACTGACAAATCCCCAGGATCTAGAACAGGGATTGGAACAGAGCATTTGATTCCAGCATTGACTCAGCAATGTCTTCGTTCAGAAATAAAATCTGCAGATGTCGCCTGCATTTTGTCAGTGTTTGCTCCTTGAGAGTGGGGTCTTTAGGCAAGTAATTCATAGCCACCTGCTAGGTTCCCAAATAGTGCTGGGCACTGTGAGAATATAAAAGCTCTGATGTTCAGCCGGGCACAGTGGCTCAGGCCTGTAATCCCAGCACTTTGGGAGGCCGAGGCAGGCGGATCACCTGAGGTCAGGTGTTGGAGACCAAGCTGGCCAACATGGCGAAACCCTGTCCCTACTAAAAATACAAATATTAGCCAGGTGTGGTGGTGAGTATCTGTAATCCCAGCTACTTGGGGGGCTGAGGCACGAGAATCACTTGAACCTGGGAGGCGGAGGTTGCAGTGAGCCAAGATTTCACCATTGTACTCCAGCCTGGGTGATAGAGTGAGACAAAAGCTCTGACGTCCATCCTCCACTGGCTTTTGAAATAAAATAGAAATTCCTCCCTCCGTGGCCCCCGCCTACCTCACCTCCCTCTGCTTCCCCAGGGCACACCAGGCAATGTCTTCCTTGGCTTTAGGTTCCCCCATGCTCCAAGCTTCTTCGTGCCTCAGGGCCTTTGCACTTGCTGACCTTGCTGCTGGATCTCAGTGCAAATGTCCCTTCTTCTCACAGTCCTTTCTGTCCCCCCAACCCAGTTACCCCAGAAATCAACACCCATCACAGCTCCGTTTCGTCATCCGCACTGTCTGAAATTCTCTCCATCATTTATTTACTTGTAGAATCCATTTACTGGAGAATCTCAAATCCATGGGCTCCAAAACAAAGCCATTTTACTTTTTCCCAATTACTTTATTCCATCAAGCTCTGCGGAGGTCCCTTCCTGCTGGGTCTTAACAGGCTGATCCCAACATGTTTCAGACTATTCTAGTCATTGAAAGGCAGACCAGGCCAGCTCAAAACTCCCAGTCTTTGTTCAAATCTCTTTTCCAGAATAGTGGGGAAGGGAGCAAGATCTTTTATTCCTTTCTCTGGAGAAAAAAAGGGTGGGGGCAGGGAGAACCTGCATGTCTTCTCCACAGGCCTCATCTGGGTCCGGTTCCAACTGTTGCTATCCCCATGGTGGGGGGTGCCTGATTGTTTTGGGGCTGAGCCTCGTCTGTTGCTGGGGTTGCCTCAGGAAGGGGCAGCCATATGCCCCTCCAGCCCTGCCAGTGGAAGAGGCTGCTGCCCTTTGCCAGGTGGGAAGCAGATCCCTTTTCAGTGCCTGTCTGGCCACAGGACTCCCCTCCGTGTGGGTCCTTGTAGGAGCCCTCCGTGGAACACCTGTGCTTCCCTCCCAGACCGGGTCCTTGCTTTTCCTGGTGCTTCTCCCCAAGCCTCTCCCCACGGAACGCCCCACCAGAGAAAACCAAGCACAACTCTGGGATGTGTGCTTAACTTCCCAAGGGTGTCCTCACCACATCCAGCTGGGGGTGCGGTGCCAGCCTCCTCTTCCTGGCAGCATCCTGTCTTGGGGGGATCCTCTTGGGCCTCCTTCCCTTGGTGGGGGAAGGGGGTGCTGGGAGGGGCACCCACTCACCAACACCGTGGCCACCCTCACTCCCTCTCTCTTGACCATTCCAGTCTTACACAGAAAGGGAGGAGCAGGGAGCCAGGGGAATGGGGATTCACAGCAGCAGGACTGATTCTTCCGCCTCTACTGGGCCATGGGGGAAGGGGCCCTGTCCTAAGCTTCCCTGATCTCTTTAGGAGGTGAAGGGGCCCTGTCCTAAGCTTCCCTGATCTCTAACCAACTCTGG